TAAATTTTTAAAAAATTTTTAAAAAATAAATTTCCTTTAAAAAATATTTTTTTTCTAGCCCCACCCGGTTTTGCCCTGGGGGGAATGGATTCTCGGCTCGGCCTGCGGACTGGAGGGTCCCAGGTTCGATTCCGGTCAAGGGTATGTATCTTGGTTGCGGGCACATCCCCAGTGGGGGGTGTGCAGGAGGCAGCTGACCGATGTTTCTCTCCCATCGATGTTTCTAAGTCTCTATCCCTCTCCCTTCCTCTCTGTAAAAAATCAATAAAATATATATATTTTATACATGCCCTTGACCGGAATCGAACCTGGGACCCTCCAGTCCTCAGGCCGACGCTCTATCCACTGAGCCAAACCGGTCAGGGCTAAAATATATATTTTTAAAAAAATTTTATTCTACTGCTCAGCATTATATATATTTAAAGTAAATTTATTGGAGTAACATTAGTTAATAACATAATTTTCAGGTGTACAACATTATAATTCAATACCGGTATACTTTTGAAACTGTGCTTATAAAAAATGTATTCTCTGTTTGTTGGATATAAATTTCCGTAAATAGCTAATGCTCAAGCATATTATTCATGGTTTAGATAGTATCTCTGATTATTCCTTGATTCTGGAAATGGTATGCTAAATTCTCCAACTATATTTTTGATTTATCCATTTGTCTCTACAGTTCCATCAGTTTTTGCTTTATTGCCTACTGAAGCACATATGATGATGATCTTTTTTTTTAAGCACAATAAAACATTTTCTTTTTTTGTCCTTTATAAAATACTAGAGGCCCGGTGCACGAAATTCATGCACGGATAAAGAGTCCCAAGGCCTGGCCGGCAATCAGGGCCGATGGAGGCCTTCCTTCCCCAGGCTGCCGGCCGGGGCCTTCCTTCATTCTGTGCTGCCCCCTGGTGGTCAGCGCATGTCATAACAAGCAGTCGAACTCCCAAGGGGACAATTTGCATATTAGCCTTTTATTATATAGGATTGCTTTAAATTCTTCATTTTCAGAAGTTATGGTTACTAATGCAATTTTCTTTTAGTTCATGTTAGTCTGAACATGACATATCTTTTTATCTTCATAGCTTTCTGTCTTTCTCTGTGATAAAAGACATTATCTGTGATAAAATTCACCTCCAATTGGTGACTTTTTAAATATGTAGAGCCCTAACCGGTTTGGCTCAGTGGATAGAGCGTTGGCCTACAGACTGAAAGGTCCCAGGTTTGATTCCGGTCAAGGGCATGTACGTTGGTTGCGGCCACATCCCCAGTAGGGGGTGTGCAGGAGGCAGCTGGTCGATGTTTCTCTCTCATCAATGTTTCTAACTCTTGATCCCTCTCCATTCCTCTCTGTAAAATTTAATAAAATATATTAAAAAAATAATAAATAAATATGTATATTTATTGATTTCAGAGAGGGAGGGGGAGAGAGAGATAGAAACAACAATGATGAGAGAGAAGCATCATTGATTGGCTGCCTCCTGCACACTCCACACTGAGGATTGAGCCCACAACCCAGGCATGTGCCCTGACTGGGAGTCGAACCATGACCTTCTGATTCTCAACCACTGAGCCACACTGGCTGGGCTGTTGTAAATGTTTCCCTCCACGTCCCGCGTGGTTCAGGGTTCAGGATCTGGAAGAGGAGCCGCACACAAATGAAAGAGAAGAGACAAGAGATAATTTGGAAATATTGGGGGGCCAGATGGGTAAGTCCAACTCAAGGGGAAGGACTTCCACTGGTGCTCAGGCCTCACCAAGCTTTTATTGATCTGGGATATACCCATAGCATAGCCCTTAGGCAGGCAATTTCCAGTAACACACAGACTAGCCCATCAGCAGGCAATTTCCAGTAATAGGCAGACTATCTTATCAATAAGGATTTATATGACTAGCTGGTGGGGAAGTTGCTTCAGCTACCATTGTCTGGACTAACTGGGTGCACAGCTCTGACCTTTTGCTAGGGCTTCAAGGGTCACCAGCCTTTCCAGGTTCTCTGTCTATACTTCTCTGCCAGTGAAGATAATAGACGGTTTCCCACACTGGGCAATTGGTGAATTTAACACATTTACATTTATTGCAATTATTATATTAGGATATATTTTTGTTAACTTATTTAATAATTTCCATATATTTTACTTCCCTGCCGGAGTTCATTTTCCAGGTTCTTTTATATAAATCAAACTTTTTCTGCTGGCCTGTTTGTTGTAGAGTTCCTTTTTTTTTTACTCTGGTCTCTTACATTCATCATACAAGTTTATTACTCAGTATTAACTAAGACAGGCGTGTCAAACTTTCGGCCTGCAGGCTGCATGCAGCCCATAACGAATATTTTTGCAGCCCAGCCAATATAACGGTATGTAAGAAATGTTTAATAAAAATTTGTAACTTAATTTTAACAATATCCTGTTACACATAATTATTATTAACAAACTACAATGTTTGCTAATTACTGATTACTATAATCATGTTGCTTTCATTTCCCTTACGCGCCTTATGCGCAGGCACACCATTTCTCTCCACTAATACTAGCTGCGAATATTTTAGCAGCTGATTGCTACGTCATTAGTCTTGTATTGACTTATTTGGTGTGCGCAACAGAAAATATTTCGCTTTTGGAGAATAAGAAAGATAGGTTTATTTGTGTTACGCTTATTAATTCAGTGTCTGATAAGTTAATGTTCAAGAAAAAAATGTTAATTTTTATTAAAATGTTCTATTATTTTATGTTAACGATTACTCTTTTATTTCAGCCCTTTGTATTCAGCATGTCTCTATGAAATAAGCCTACGTTTCTATGAAAATTGAAGCTTTTGGTTTTTTGTGGCCCACATAAACCTTGTTTATTTGGTCCGTGTTAGCCTTTGAGTTTGACATGCTTGAACTAAAATGTCAAACCTTTCTATTTCTGAAACCAGCATCTATTTAGTAAATTTTTCTACAATATCAGCACAGTAGAACTTGCACAGTATTGAAATGAAATAGAAATCATGGACCATCAGGAAGTTTAATCTATTTTTTTTTTCTTTACAGGGAGCTGAAGGCCGTAAGCAGGAAATTCAGTTGCTCACCAAGCGACTGGAGCAGCTGCATCATCACCACGAAGAATCATCCCAAACTGAAGAAAAGCGTAGGGAACAAAAAAGACCCTTGAAATGTCTGGAGGGAAAAATTGCTGTTAATGACTTTTTTCAAGCGAGATTAGACTTGGGCAGGAATAAAGTAAGAATTTTGTGAAGTATACGGCATTTCTTTGGCAGTGAAAATGATCATATTTTGTTATATTATCTAATGTTTAAAGCTGTTAATACTACTTATACTTTTTTAATATTGAAAAGAGAGGAAAATTTGCTACAAACCCTTCTGATTTTATCAAAAAACCTCTCCTCACTTCATATCTTCCCTTTCTCATTTATACATATTTGATATTTATTTTGAGGGCTTTTATTAATGTATTTCTTTATTTTAAAATATATTTTTATTGATTTCAGAGAAGAAGGAAGAGGGAGAGAGAGATAGAAACATCAATGATGAGAGAGAATCATTGATCGGCTAACTCCTGCAAGCCCCCCACTGGGGATCGAGCTCACAACCCAGGCATGTGCCCTTGACCGGAATTGAACCTGGGACATTTCAGTTTGCAGGCTGATGCTCTATCCACTGAGCCAAACAGGCTAGCGCTAATGTATTTCTTAATGTACCTTAAAAAGAGGGTTAGAGGAAAAGGAGGTCAAAGGTGGAATTTTAGGCACTTATTCAGCTAGATATGATGGGTATTGGAAATATTCCTCAAATGATTATTATATAGACCATTACCTTCTGCTTCTCTAAATCTATAGGAAAAAATCAATCCTAAAAGTGGGATGGAAATAGGTAGGATGCAATATTATTTATTTTCAGGAGATAGTCTATTTCACTACCTCTCCACAGAAGTGCTCATCATACTCAGACCTATCTTATATTATTTTTATAATTGCTATGGCTCAAAGTTTAATCTCACTCACTCACCACTCACTCATTTAGTCTCTCATTCCATTCGTCCATTTGTTTATTCATTCATTTATCCAATATGTATTGAACACTCAATTTAAAAAATTTTCAGCACTTAATGAAGTGGTATTAACAATGTCCTTCACAGAGTCCAAAGACAAATCCATCTTCTGCTAATTCCTTTCCCATCTCCTCTCAATACATTGACTAATCTAATGTATATAATGTGTATCCTTTTGTTTACATATGTTCTTTTAAATGTGATTTTTGTGCATATATTTAAAATTTGTGTAAATGATATTGCATTAAAAATTTTATTCTAGCCCTAGCCGGTTTGACTCGGTGGATAGAGCGTCGGCCTGCGGACTGGAGGGTCCCAGGTTCGATTCCGGTCAAGGGCATGTACCTTGGTTGCGGGCACATCCCCAGTGGGGGGTGTGCAGGAGGCAGCTGACCGATGTTTCTCTCCCATCGATGTTTCTAAGTCTCTATCCCTCTCCCTTCCTCTCTGTAAAAAATCAATAAAATATATATATTTTATACATGCCCTTGACCGGAATCGAACCTGGGACCTTGCAGTCCTCAGGCCGACGCTCTATCTTGTGAGCCAAACCGGTAATTTCAATATTATATACTTCCCTGCCATCTTATCCTTCTCCAGGGTTCTATTAAAAATATAAGTCATTTTCTTGAAACCACCTTACTTAATAACATAATTTTTATAGTGTACGACATTATAATTCAATACCGGCACACTTTTGAAACTGTGCTTATTAAAAATGTATTCTCTGTTTGTTGGATATAAATTTCCGTAAATAGCTAATGCTCAAGCATATTATTCATGGTTTAGATAGTATCTCTGATTATTCCTTGATTCTGGAAATGGTATGCTAAATTCTCCAACTATATTTTTGATTTATCCATTTGTCTCTACAGTTCCGTCAGTTTTTGCTTTATTGCCTACTGAAGCACATATGATGATGATCTTTTTTTTTAAGCACAATAAAACATTTTCTTTTTTTGTCCTTTATAAAATACTAGAGGCCCGGTGCACGAAATTCATGCACGGATAAAGAGTCCCAAGGCCTGGCCGGCAATCAGGGCCGATGGAGGCCTTCCTTCCCCAGGCTGCCGGCCGGGGCCTTCCTTCATTCTGTGCTGCCCCCTGGTGGTCAGCGCATGTCATAACGAGCAGTCGAACTCCCAAGGGGACAATTTGCATATTAGCCTTTTATTATATAGGATTGCTTTAAATTCTTCATTTTCAGAAGTTATGGTTACTAATGCAATTTTCTTTTAGTTCATGTTAGTCTGAACATGACATATCTTTTTATCTTCATAGCTTTCTGTCTTTCTCTGTGATAAAAGACATTATCTGTGATAAAATTCACCTCCAATTGGTGACTTTTTAAATATGTAGAGCCCTAACCGGTTTGGCTCAGTGGATAGAGCGTTGGCCTACAGACTGAAAGGTCCCAGGTTTGATTCCTGTCAAGGGCATGTACGTTGGTTGCGGCCACATCCCCAGTAGGGGGTGTGCAGGAGGCAGCTGGTCGATGTTTCTCTCTCATCAATGTTTCTAACTCTTGATCCCTCTCCATTCCTCTCTGTAAAATTTAATAAAATATATTAAAAAAATAATAAATAAATGTGTATATTTATTGATTTCAGAGAGGGAGGGGAAGAGAGAGATAGAAACAACAATGATGAGAGAGAATCATCATTGATTGGCTGCCTCCTGCACACTCCACACTGAGGATTGAGCCCACAACCCAGGCATGTGCCCTGACTGGGAGTTGAACCATGACCTTCTGATTCTCAACCACTGAGCCACACTGGCTGGGCTGTTGTAAATGTTTCCCTCCACGTCCCGCGTGGTTCAGGGTTCAGGATCTGGAAGAGGAGCCGCACACAAATGAAAGAGAAGAGACAAGAGATAATTTGGAAATATTGGGGGGCCAGATGGGTAAGTCCAACTCAAGGGGAAGGACTTCCACTGGTGCTCAGGCCTCACCAAGCTTTTATTGATCTGGGATATACCCATAGCATAGCCCTTAGGCAGGCAATTTCCAGTAACACACAGACTAGCCCATCAGCAGGCAATTTCCAGTAACACACAGACTAGCCCATCAGCAGGCAATTTCCAGTAATAGGCAGACTATCTTATCAATAAGGATTTATATGACTAGCTGGTGGGGAAGTTGCTTCAGCTACCATTGTCTGGACTAACTGGGTGCACAGCTCTGACCTTTGCTAGGGCTTCAAGGGTCACCAGCCTTCCAGGTTCTCTGTCTATACTTCTCTGCCAGTGAAGATAATAGACGGTTTCCCACACTGGGCAATTGGTGAATTTAACACATTTACAGTTATTGCAATTATTATATTAGGATATATTTTTGTTAACTTATTTAATAATTTCAATATATTTTACTTCCCTGCCGGGGGTTCATTTTCCAGGTTTCTTTTAGATAAATCAATCTTTTTCTGCTGGTTTTAAAGCTGTATATTCTATTTTTATTCTGATGCTGGTGTTCTCTAAGAACACAACTTATTTATTTAATATTGCCGTAACCGGTTTGGCTCAGTGGATAGAGCGTCGGCCTGCGGACTGAAAGGTCCCAGGTTCGATTCTGGTCAAGGGCATGTACCTTGGTTGCGAGCACATCCCCAGTGGGGGGTGTGCAGGAGGCAGCTGATGGATGTTTCTCTCTCATCCACGTTTCTAACTCTCTATCCCCTCCCCTTCCTCTCTGTAAAAAATCAATAAAATATTTAATATTTACAAGAATGTCATACCTGTTTGGTCTCTGACCTCAACCCCCAAATATATTATTATTCTCTAATTTCTTAATTTGTGGGCTATTTGAGTATACTTTCTCTGTTTTCTTTAACTTGGCCCTGATTATTTTTAGATAACCACTAAACTTGAACAAGGTATATGATCACCTTCAGTTGCATATCTTTTTAAGCATCCTCCTTTTCTACATGAATTTTTAACAATTGGATCTTTGGCAAACTTTCTGACACCACGTGTGCCTGATAATATTTTTATTATACCCTCATATTTGAATGACAGTTTGGCTGGATATAAACTTGTAAGTTCAAAGTTCCTTCATAAAATTCTTTGAAACTATCTCCTTGCTTCCCCTGTTACTGTTGAGATGTTTGATATCAGTGTGATTCTTATTCCTTTGTAGATGATTTACTCTTTCAGGAAGCTTTTAGACCAGCCGTGGGCAAACTACGGCCCGCAGGCCAGATCCAGCCCGTTTGAAATGAATAAAACTAAAAAAAAAAAAAGACCGTACCCTTTTATGTAATGATGTTTACTTTGAATTTATATTAGTTCACACAAACAGTCCATCCATGCTTTTGTTCCGGCCCTCCGGTCCAGTTTAAGAACCCATTGTGGCCCTCGAGTCAAAAAGTTTGCCCACCCCTGTTTTAGACTTTTCTTGTTTACTTTGATGTTCTTAAATCCTATATAATAAAAGGCTAATATGCAAATCGACCGAACGGCAGAATGACCGGTCGCTATGATGCGCACTGACCACCAGGGGGCAGATGCTCAATGCAGGAGCTGCCCCCTGGTGGTCAGTGTGCTCCCACAGGGGGAGCGCCACTCAGCCAGAAGCCCTGAGCTGGGCTCATGGGGAGCGGGCCTAAGCCATCAGTCAGACATCCCCTGAGGGCTCCCAGACTGCGAAAGGGCACAAGGCCGGGCTGAGGGATCCCCCCACCCAAGTGCACAAATTTCATGCACCGGGCCTCTAGTTTTATTATAATATGCTTAGATATGTGGTTTTTCCTTATCTCTCTTGTTTGCACTTTATGAACTTTTTTAAAAAAGTATGTTTTATTGATTTCAGAGAGAAGAGAGAGGGAGAGAGATATAGAAACATCAATGAGAAAGAAACATCGATTGGCTGCCTCCTGCATGCCACTTACTGGGGAGCAAGCCAACAACCTGGGTGTATGCCCTGACTGGAAATCTAACTGGGACCTCCTGGTCAATGCTCAACCACTTAGCCACATTGGCAGGGCTGAACTTTTTAATCTAAGTCTTTCATCTGTCAATTTTATCATTTATTTCAACATTTTACACTCTCTATTTCAGTGATGGCGAACCTTTTGGCTTGCGTGTCAGCATTTTGAAAAACCCTAACTTAACTCTGGTGCCGTGTCAGATATAGAAATTTTTTGATATTTGCAACCATAGAAAGATTTATATTTTTGATATTTACTTTTTATATTTAAATGCCATTTAACAAAGAAAAATCAACCAAAAAAATGGGTAGAGGTGTCAGAGGTGTCAGAGGTTCGCCATCACTGCTCTATTTCTTTGTTTTAACTCTTCTTTTTTATATTCTCTCCTTCTGTGACTAGTATCTATTTTATCTTTCCAAAATGTTTTTATATACATTTTACTAGTTTTTTATTTATATATAATGAAAATATGTGGTATCTTTTTAAAACCCACACCTTTTTTTCTATTTTTTTTCCTGGTAGTAAATTTATAAATTACAGGTAAGAAAGAATACAATTAAAATCACAGGGAAAGAAGGGACATATGTAATACTTTTAACAATAAAGATAAATTTTTAAAAATCACCAGTAATTCTACCACTTGGAGATAACCAGTGTTAATAGGTATATTTCCTTCTGATTATTTTCCATGTATATTTTGACATAATTGAGATAGGCATAGTTTTTTTCATCCTGCTTCTTTCATTTAACTATATCGTTAGTATTTTCTCTTACTAGAAATTTTTGAAAACTTGATTTCTAGGAAATCTGTAATAAATCGTGTCATTTATCTAATTATTCTTTTTGACATTTGCATTATTTTTATTTTTCATGTTATGAATAATGTAAATAATATCTTGGTGCATGAATTGTTATCTAAATATTGGGTTATTTCCTATAATACATTCCTAGAAAAGTTGCGGTAACCTGTGCCACCACCTGGTGTTAATAAAATTGTCTACTTAACTTTACCCTTGATAGCACTGAGCCATCACTTTTATTGTCGTATTTTACTTTCTGGATTATTTTAATAATGCATATTTATGGTGAAAAAATATTTTACTTATGTAAATAGTTTAGTCTGCAGTTTATCAGTCTAGAGTAGATCTGGTTTGCTAATGTAGAACACCATCATAAAACACAACTTCTTTATTTCAATACTATTGATTTCTTCAAAGGAAAACTCCAGGACTAAAAATTCCCGAATAGATGAGAACAGCAAGATATTTAAACAGCTACAGAAAGACAACAAACAACAAACATTAATAACTATTAAGCAGAATTTGCAAATTGCAACAACTCAAAGATTAGAGGAAGAAATTCAGCAACTTCAGAAACAGCTCAGTGATTTGAAATTGTCAAATAAAAATATGAAAACCCAACTGACAAGAGTAAATGTCCTTAAAGTAAGTAAAGGAAGTGAGGCTTTCAAAAATGTATTTAAGCTTTGATTGTTACTATTTTAGCTGCATATGTCTCATCAAACTTTTAAAAATTAACGTTAAAATTATTTTACACGCATAAAAAAGAATGTATATAATATTAAAGCATATATAATAATAACAGTTGATGCCTGCAAATCTATTACTAATCTTAAAAAAAACAGACTAATCTCAATTCCATGAAAGCCCTTAAGTATTCCTCTTCCTACTCCTCAAAGGTAACTTCTGGATCCCTTGCTTTTTCGTTTTAGTCTTATTTTTGTCTTTTTTATTGAGGTAATAGTTAAACATTTTAGTCATTTTGGGGTTCCTCTTTGGACCTTCTCTATTTCAAGCTTCAGTTGTAGTATTTCAAATATACATTTTTAAAATCTTAAACCACAGGTGCACTAAATACTTATTGATCACCTTTTTTATCAGCAATATTTCTTACTACAGAGCCACTTATTTTCTCTGTTTCTGTATTTAATCAGCACAGGCTGTACTATAAGACTTTTGAGGACATGGAACACTTGTTCACCCTCTTTTAACCCAAGTGCCTAGTTTATAAAAGTGTTCAGTGATTGTTGGTTATTGATGAGTATGATGGTGGAGACATGTTCTCTTAATTCACAAGTTGTGGGATTTTGTTTTCCATGTATCTACCTCTTTTTTTTTTTTAAGGAAAGAATAGAAGCATGAGTTATCATTCATCATGCCTACCTATTATTTAAAAGAGATCTAATCACAGTCATCTCCCTTTCCCCCAACCTTAACTTTATACCCTCATAGGACAAAACAATTCAGAAGCTCAGGCAATCTTTAATAAAAGTTGAAGCAATGAAAGGGAAGACAGCTATGAAAACAGATAACTTGAAAACTACATTAGACCCGACCAAGCAAGAGGCAAGATGGGACAAAGACGGGACCCATCAGATCTTAGATGCTGTCACTCCTGAGCTCTGCACATCAAAGAACACACTTGAAGAAGTATCAGGACAACCACAAGAGGTTTTTTTTTAAATTTCTTTTTGTTTTATTGCTTAAAGTATTACAAAGGGTATTACATATGTGTCCTTTATTTTCCCCGCCCTTGACAATCCCCTGGCCTCCCCTACCCCCCAGTGTCTTATGTCCATGGGGTTACGCTAAAAGGCCGGGAATTTTAGGTCCTGGGGTTGTTTTTTTTCCCCCCCTTTTTCCCGCCCCCCCAAACCTCCCTGGCGGGGGTTTTTTTTTTTTTAAAAAAAATTATAACTATATTAAGATTCTTTAAGTCAGTGGTTGGCAAACTACGGCTCGAGAGCCCACATGCAACTCTTTGGCCCCTTGAGTGTGGCTCTTCCACAAAATACCACGTGCGGGCGCGCATGTACAGTGCGATTGAAACTTCGTGGCCCATGCGCAGAAGTCGGTATTTTGTGAAAGAGCCACACTCAAGGGGCCAAAGAGCCGCATGTGGCTCGCAAGCCGCAGTTTGCCGACCATTGCTTTAAGTTGAAGTGATAAACACTCACCTCAACTTAGACTCCACCTAACTTAGACAAAAGGGAATTTATTGGCTTATGGAATCAAAAGGAGTTAAACAAGCAGAGCTCTGCAGGGGCAGAGATGTACCTGGGCCCTAGGATGAGCACCTGGAAACTTGTAAGGCCTTCCTCAGCATCTCTTCTTGGCAGCTCCCTGTGTCATCTTGTCTATCTGACTGAAAACCACAGAGTTTGTTTGTTTTTTTTTAAATATATTTTATTGATTTTTTTACAGAGAGGAAGGGAGAGGGATAGAGAGTTAGAAACATCCATGAGAGAGAAACATCCATCAGCTACCTCCTGCACACCCGCTACTGGGGATGTGCCCACAACCAAGGTACATGACCTTGACCAGAATCGAACCCGGGATCCTTCAGTCCACAGGCTGATGCTCTATCCACTGAGCCAAACCGGTTAGGGCTGAAAACCACAGAGTTTTATAGTTGAAGAGTTTCTGGGACAATAAAGAGAATCCCAAGAAAGGGTCTTTATAAGCCCAGCTCAGATCAAATGCCTATCCTTGGTGAATTTACAGTGGTGATAGTGGGATATATGATGATCTTAGCTTAGGTTTGCACACACATCCTCTGACTAACCAAAGACAGGGAGGGCAGAGATGATGGAATAGAAGTTCAGGGGAAACCATGTGTTTGTAGCTGGGTCACTTTCTAGGACAAGAGGGAAGTGCTTCTAAATTTGCCTAGATTTTCACTGTATTTATAAAGCACGTATTTTAAGAATTCTTAAAAGCCTGATAATTTTGGGCTATTGTGGGATTATGTCATACCTTCATATATTAGTTGCTTAAGAAATATGCAACTTAGAGTCTTAAAAAAATCAAGGCATGATACTATCATTTTTTTCTCTTTTTTTTAATAAATATATTTTATTGAGAAGAAGGAAGAGGGACAGTTAGAAACATCGATGAGAGAGAAACACCGATCAGCTGCCTCCTGCACACTTCCTACTGGGGATATGCCCGCAACCAAGATACATGCCCTTGACCGGAATCGAACCTGGGACACCTCAGTCCACAAGCCGACGCTCCATCCACTGAGCCAAACCGGTCAAGGCCTTTTTCTCTTTTTTAACTTGTGCCTATTCACATTTTTTATTGTTTTTTTATTCTTTTTAGTGTTCCTTATTATATTTTCAGTCAATCTCTTCTCCTTTGGGCATTCTGTAGTTTAGTCTTCATTTCTGAGATTTTGTCTTATTCTTGCTTGAATTCCATCAACACTTCTTTACCCACAAAGCATCTTACACATATATTTTTTCTATTCGGAAATCATACCTTTAGAAAGGTGTTTTTACCCCATGTCTGCTGATCCTTATCTAATTAATATTTAATTCATATCAGGCATTGTGTCAAGCATGTCTCCCCTGCTTCGTGGCTCTTTTGGGGAGAGTATTTTCATCACCTGAACAGTCTGAGTGATACTGCCTTTCTTATTTTCTCCCAGCTCCCTTTCTTGCCCTTCCCCACTTGCCAGTGTTCTGATCCACCGGGTCTCAGACTTGTTCTCAGTATTAGTATTTCCCCATTTATGCATTCTCCCGTTTCTGGGATACCAGTGGAAACTAGATGCCTCCTCCAGCGTGGACCCTGGAGCTGCCTCATTTGATTTCGGATATTTATTCCCTCGCTTACAGGCAAACTGAAGTCTGGGGTATTCTCTAGTTATGTTTTAGACATGATTTATGGATGTTTTTATCTGCTTTCCTTGTTGATCATTATGGTTATAGAAGGATGGGTGGAGAGATATGTATTTAGAGAAACGTATTTGCTGCTATTACTCCACAGCAAAACAGAAGTTCAAAAAGAAGTTACCTTACGGATGAAACATAAGCAGCAATAAAATTAAGTTTAGTCTATAAAAGTGTAAAAATAAGAAAAAAATCTTAAAAGAAAATTTTACATAAAGGCTACTTGTAACAGAGGAGACCATTTTTCTAGATTAAAAATACTTGAATATAGGATGTTATATTTCACAAAGAAATGTTTAGTAAGACTAATTTTCTCATACCAATTTTATCGTATACAGTAAGTAGGTGACCAAAACTAATGACATGTCTCGAATTTTGTGGTGGCTCTTTGAAGGAAGTCGACTTTCGAGAAACTATCATAAAGATGTTGGGATTTAACATGAAAACAGCAGACAAGGAAATTATCACTCACCTAAGACTTGTTATCCAAGCTTATGAAGCATCTAACAAATCAAAGATTGCTTCTGATTGTGAGACTGGACAGAATAACGCATAAAAAAGTTCTGCCTTCTCATTGCTGCCAACAAGAACTCAGCAGATACAGACATTTCCTTCAACATCTTGAGTATGGCTACATGATGAATTAAATGCTTCAGAAATTTTTTACTTCAATTTGTTCTCTCCTTTGATGTTTGGCATTCAACTTTTGTCATAATCATAAATGTTCTATGCATTTACTTATGGTCTAGTCTAGATTGTTATTTGTACTATGGTAATATCCAGTTATATTTATTATTAACTGTATTTTAAGCAGTATATTAATCAGAACTTTTGTTTAGTTAGAATATTTATATCTACCAATATAGTTAACAGCCTGTTTCTAGAATGAAAAATTTATTGGCTATGCCCACTTATGAATCCAGGTAAAGTTGTATTCTATAATTTGAATCTATTTTATCTCTTTGGTAACTAGGTGTGAAAATCAGATATGAAATATTGTAGGGTAGGAAAATAATCAAGAATTTTTATAATTGTTCAATAAGACTGTATTGTGTTTTTTATTTTCTTAGCATTTAATATTGTCTGTCAGTGTTTGCCTAATAGTAGGCCAATTTCTAAATTAATGGGCTACTTTCTAAATAGTATCATTTCTAATTTATTTTATTTAAAATAGTTAATTGCTCTTCTTCCAAGGGAATTTTAGATTTATCTAGGATGTCCTCTGTAGGAATGTCAGAATCTAGATAGGCCTGTGGAGACTCAGTGCCTGCTGTGGTCATTTAAAAGAATCTGCTGTGGGGCTTAGTTTTAGGGGGTCTTCAGGGTGGAAGGAGTCAGGTTACATTGGATTTTACTGTAGAAGCACTTTGGAAGAAAATGATTAGCTTGAATACGCACTCTAAGAAAAAATGAGAATCACTCTTTTAAAAAAATATTTTTATTGATTTCAGGGAGAGGAAGGGAAGAGGGATAGAGAGATAGAAACAATGATATGAGAGAATTATTGATTGGATGCCTCCTGCACACTCCCTACTGGGGATGGAGCACACAACCTGGGCATGTTGTCCTGACCAGGAATCTAACCAGTGCCCTCCTGGTTCATGGGCTAACACTCAACAACTAAGCCACACAGGCTGGGTGAGAATCACTCATTTTTAAACCATCATAGCCATGGCTCTCAAACTGAGTGCCAAGGCACTCTGGTGCACTGCAGGGATCAGCAGGCCATGGAGTGTTTTAAATTTTAAAGGCAAACAGTGATAACTGACATTTGTCAGGAAAATACTCCATTAGTCCCACGTAGTTTAGAGTTTCAACACTGGATTGCTCTTCATTCATTCTGATGACACAGGTTTGTGATGGAAACTGCACAGGGCTTCTCAGGACTTTTAAATTGGTCACCAAGTGAAGGCCCAGCAGTTGGTGGTATCACTACTAAGGAATCCTAAGATCCTTGGCTGCACTGTAAGAAGCTCACTTACCTTTCAAGAATATCCTTGGGCTGGCACGAGGGGACCCACCTGTAGCCCAACCTGTTCAACTACCTTCTTGTTGGATTCCCCAAGGGTCAGCTGCCTGCTGCAGCCTCAGCGCAAGGATGGCAAGGACCGCACCATCCCATGAGCCAGGCAGGCTGTCGCCCATGTTCCAGAGCTGCTCTTCTCTGAGGAACCAGGAGTCCTACCAGCTCCTAGAAGCAAGCTCTCCATGAAGGCCAAGGTGCCAAGGGGTGGCAGTTTGTGAAAGGGCCATTTATTAGCATATTAAAGAAAAATATTCTGTAAGTAGAGGGGCTTCAGTCTTAATGCTTCTTTGTGAATTGTGTTAGTATAAACGGACTGTTCAACCGCAGAGCAGACTAGAAGGTTGGTTATGTTAACTCTGAACAGAGGAGGGAGAGGGACCCTTCCGGGGCCTGGAACAGTCGGACCAGAGCTGCTTTCAGCGCTGTGGCCAAATCACTGCACACTGCCAAATCACAAACTTTGTGGCTGACAAAAGAAATATTCCTACATTTCTGGAGGCGTCCGCTTCGGCAAGAGAGGGGCTCTTAGAGCAAGACAGGCGCGGGCGCTGCCTGTGCCCGACTCCCGCTGGGATTTCACTGTCAACGCAGCCAAACTGTGGACACCGCTCCGCCCACAGCTGCGAGCCAGCCAGTCCCACAGCCCACGCGCACGCCGTCCGGGGAGTCCGCGCTCCTGCGCCTGCGCGCCCCTGACGTAGCTGCGCCTGCGCAGCCCTGAGCGGGAGGGGCCGGAGCGGCGCTCGCCTGGGGGCGTGGCTGTCGGCACCGGAGGCGGAAGGGGGCGAAGATGACGCGGAGTAGCTCGTGGTGACTGGCTGGCGGCAATGACTGGCTGGTGGAAGGAGCTGTTTCAGGTTGCGTCTCCGTGGGGGGCGGGAACCCACTGAAGAGGGGGTCGGGCCTCGATTCCAGCCTATCGGGGGCGGGGGCGAAGCCGAAGAGGCGGCCTCCCGGGAAAACGCAGGTGCAAGTGAGGCGGAGTCCGGACCAGCCCGCGTGCGGGCGCGTCGCCGAGTGTGCGGACACGGGGCTTCCTTGCGGGAGACCTTGGTGCGGCGCCGTGCTTGCCCTCGAGGTTAATCCTGTGGAGTGGGGTCGGCTTCCGGCGTCCCGCTCATCGGCGCCGTCAGACTGGGGTTGGGGCCCCCGCCCCGAGGCTGAGTCGTGGGGTCAGGGCGGCGCCTGTAACTTGAAGATCTCAGGGGACTGAGGCTCGGCCACCGTGAAGCCCCGCCCGCCGTTTCAGGCCGGCTTAGCGGCGGCGCCTGCGCCTCCGTGTGCGGGGTCACCTCCGTGTGCGGGGTCACCTCCGGGTGCGGGGGAACCTCCGTGTGCGGGGTCACCTCCGTGTCCGGGGTCACCTCCGTGTGCGGGGTAACCGCGGGGTCGTCCGCTTTGCCAGCAAGGCTCGACCTTGTCAGACCCCCGCGCAGACGAGGATGGAGAATGGACGCGAAGGGCGGCTCGGCCTCCCCGTAGGCGTCCGCTCCGGAGATACGGGAGATCGGGGGGCAGGACTGGAGGAGCCAGGCAGCTGGTGTTTGTGAGGACTGGTTCTGCAAGTTTCCGAGCCAATGAATTCGCTTTCTCTGTCGGATAAAACTGACTGATTGGTTTCTTATTGTGCTCAGTGTACAGCGGTCATCCCACTGTAGTCTTAAGATATTCAGGATCATTGAACTGACCAATACAGTGGGGCCTTGACTTAGGAGTGTCCTGACTAACGAGTTTTTCGAGATACGAGCTTTGAGTTGCGAGCTAAAATTCGGGTTACGAGCCAGCTTCAGATACCCCACCGCTAGTTGGCCCAGTGAACGTCACAGTGAACTCCACAACATCAGCCCAGCATCACGTGTCTCACTCGTTCACTTTAAGATTTGACATACGAGTAAATTGAGTTATGAGCTCTGTCATGGAATGAATTAAACTCGTAAGTCAAGGCCCCACTGTATCTAAATTTCTTTTATAAACTGTTCCTTAGGGGGTCTAACTGATGGCAGAGTCATCTATTGAACTTGATTCATTAACAGTATTATTGAGGCTGAATTTACATACCATAAAATTCACCTGTTGTAGATGTTCAATTCATGACGTAGCATATTTACAGGAATTGGACAATCTTTGGATAAATTTTTTTCTGGTAGTTGCCTTTACCGTTCTCAAAGTTTGTACAAGTGGACATTTTTGAGACACAACATAAGAGCCTCTGAAGATGTACATTAAAAATGTATACCTGAGATGGGGAAATTAAAAGAATTGAAGCGCCATGGCTCAGTTGGTTGGAGTGTTGTCCCTGCATGGAGAGTCCTGGGTTCCATGTCCCTGTCAGGGCTCATATCTAGGTTTCTGGTTCCATCCCTGGTCGGGACACATGTGGGAGGCAACCAATCCATGTATGTTTCTCTCCCCCAACCCCCTTTCTCCCTCTAAAATAAATTTTAAAAATAAAGAATTGAACCAATTTTTTCTTAGAAGTTGCAGGCAGTGAAACTTGTGTCTTGTAATACCAAAAGTTATTGACCATTTCAACTGTCTTGTTTGTTGATGAATATGGCATAAGCTCATTTTATAGATGAGGAAAATGACTGAAAGATAAGTTACCAAAAGCTGCATAGCTGTGTCTGGGCTTTGACCCAACCCTGGATGCTTTATCCCCAAATTTATTGCCTTAGCCACCTCAACATCTTGGTTTTTTATTATAATACTAGAGGCCTGGTGCACGAAATTCGTGCATTGGGGGGGGGGTGTCCCTCAGCCAGGCCAGCACCCTCTCCAATCTGGGACCCCTTGGGGGATGTCCGACTACTGGCAGTTGGACATCCCTCTCACAATCTGGGACTGCTGGCTCCTAACTGCTCACCTGCCTGCCTGCCTGATCGCCCCCAACTGCCCTCCCCTGCTGGCCTGATCGCCCCCTAACTGCTCTCCTGTCTGCCTGATCACCGCCTCTGCCTTAGCCTCCGCCACCATGGCTTTGTCCGGAAGGATGTCCGGAAGGATGTTTAGAAGACATCTGGTTGCCGAAGCCGGTTTGGCTCAGTGGATGGAGCGTCGGCCTGCGGACTGGGGGGTCCCGGGTTCGATTCCGGTCAGGGGCACGTACGTTGGTTGCGGGCACATCCCCAGTGGGAGATGTGCAGGAGGCAGCTGGTCGATGTTTCTCTCTCATCGATGTTTCTAACTCTCTATCCCTCTCCCTTCCTCTCTGTAAAAAATCAATAAAATATATTTTTAAAAAAACTGTTAAAACAAACAAACAAACAAAAAAAAAACATTTTAGAAGACATCTGGTCTAATTAGCATATTACCCTTTTATTAGTATAGACTAGAGGCCTGGCGCACGAAATCGTGTGTGGGTAGGGTCCCTAGGCCTAGCCTGCGATCAGGGCCATCTTCCCTGGCTGCTGACAGCCAGCTCTGCCTTGCACCCCACTGCCACTCTCCCTGGTTCCCTGTTCACCAGCCCGCGATGGAAGCCTGAGCCGGGGGAGGGACCAAGAGGTCAGCTGTTCCTGCCCATTCGCTGGCCCCACCCCCACCGCCCGTTGCCCTCTGTGTGTGTGGGGCGACCAGCGGGGCAGGGGCCTTGGC